TTACCTCCCATTCTTCTCCTTCTGCTGCTCACCATCTGCTTCAGAGAGACTTCTCCTAGACTCTCCTTCGATCCCCATTTCAAAAGGGGGATCCCGGACCGGACGGTTCCAGTTTTTCCAGAGAGAGCTCTTCTCTGGAGCTACTTGCAGCACCGCAACAAAGCCCTGCCTCCTTCTAGTGTAATATTCTGACCTTCATAGGAGAACTTTTAAGAAACACATGTGGGTAAGAAAGAATTGTGGATCATTCCGCTTGGAAATGGATGTTTTGAAAGATACAAGAGCATCAGTATTAAGGGTTGGAGGTGTTAGTTATTAAGTTAGGAATCCAGTCTTTACTTATTGTGTTTTTGATGCTATCTATCTACCAGTGAAGGGATCCAAAGTAGCTTGATATGTAAAGCTTTGTTAGAATATTTCTGAAGGGACTGTGAGATTTGAATTATTCAATTGTTTAGCTCACTGGTTCTTAACCTTGGGTTACTCAGGAGTTTTGGACTGCAACTCCCAGAAGCCTTCACCACCAACTGTGCTGGCTGGGGTTTCTGGGAGTTGCAGTTCAAAAACATCCGAGTAACAAAGGTTAAGAACCACTGGTTTAGCTCATGTCTTAAATATGGTTGTGGAACCCAAGACCCGGGTCATGAAGCTATGGCGGGAGTGCCGTCTCTCCCCAAAACATCTGAGGGGACACAGACAACTCCACCCCCCCGCTCCACCTAGAGTGACACACCGAGGAGTAGACACCCAGGACTTAGTGAGGGGAATGAGAGGGTTAACTTTGGCCACCCAGACCTACCCTGAAATGGCGGGAAAGGAGGAGCACGGGCGGTCTGTGGTGGAGGCGGGAGCAGGAGATATAAAAGTGGAGTGGGATACCATCCCGGGGGTCTGGGAGATGATATGGATGCAAGATCCATGGACTGGACATTGGGAGCAAGTCCGTGTTCCCAAGCAAGAGGTGGAGAATCGGAGAAAGAAGGGACTTCCTCAGCGCCCATCCTACTGGGGTGAGTCTGAAACCTGGGAGTGGAGGCGTAAGCTGAGGGAAGAGGAAGAAGCCGCAGAGAGAGAGAAGGAAGCCAAACGAGCATGGCATTTGGAGGAGCTGAAGAGACTAGGCTGCTTCCTGGACCTTGGGACACCAACCCAGGGGAGGGATCACCGCTTTGGGGATGGTCAGGGGATGAGGAAACCCTCCCCCTTCTGATACCTGAAATGGGGGAAGACGTGCCCCAAGAATCCGAGAGGGTTCTGGCTGGTCCCTGGGAGCACAAGTCAACGGACATGTGGTTGCCCCTGCCTGAATCGTTGTTCCCGCAGGAGAAGTTCCATCCAAGCTTGCATGATGTTTCAGTTCAATTGCCAGAGTTAATAAATAGAGAAGATTATTTTGATTTAAAGACGTCTCCTGGTTTATTGGGGGAAAGGGAGGTCCCGCGCACCGAACCCTCACAATGGACCAATGCAAAAATTACTGTGTCCCCAATTTGGGTAGCAGTCCAAGTAGTACATGATCAGTGCATTCTTGAAATAGATTCATTTGTCAACCTTATGGTGAAATGTGCTGAAAGCATTTAAAGTATGGATGTGTGTATGCAGAGGATTTATCTTTACATCCATATGTCCTGAACCAAAAAGCAAATAACTGAGACTAACTTACAAAACAATTCAGAGAAATGAAATTTGAGCATGCAAAGAATAGAATGTTTTTCTAAGCATAAACTGATAATCAAGGGAGTAAGTTCTGTGAGCAAAACATTAACATTTGTGATATCTGATGTTTAGCATATTTGTCCACCCTTGTGCCAGAGGACTTTTCTTGAAAATATTGATTAATAAAACAAGATGTCCCAGAAACTTTCGGTGAAGTCAAGAGGTTATAGTAGTCAATTTAGAGTGTGTGAAGGTAGATTGAGTCTCCTTACTACCAATATCTCTTGGAAATTTACATTTGTTTGGAAAATATTTCTGATGCCCCAATGTACCCCATTTTTAAACTTTTGAAAGAAATATACTTGGAGAGAAGATTTTATGCGACCTTAGTTCTTTCTTCTGGTTCTGAAAACATTCCTAGGCTGAAATTTCTTTACCAAGACACCAGATTTCCCTTAATTTTAGGTATGTGTCTTTCTTGCTGGCTTCAATTGATAGCCTTGTGCTTTAAAAAAAAGGAGTATGAGGAGATGAGGGTGTAATTCTACAAGCCTGGACTTTTTTCGTTCCTGAATTAATTTATTAGCAGATTAAGATTAAATAAATGTTGCTTTTATTTTATTTTTTAAAAAATCTAATAATGCCAATTCTGTTTTACACTAAAATGCATGTAATCAGATTTGCTGTGAGAGGTTAAACAGACAATGTCCAGATATAAATACGGCAAATCGTACTTTAATGTATAATCTAAGGGCATCAGTGCTTACATTATATAATATTGGCTGAAAATATTTTGCTTTAGTATAGTAAGTCGCATTTGAGTAGGCCTAGTTGGATTGATTCAAGTGCATGGTAAATAACAGATGAAGTTTGCCCATTTCAATCAATGGAATTTATGGAGGAGTGATGCACCAAATACCCATTGATTCAATGTTCCTACTCTAGTGTGATTTACGATGCTAAGTAACAGGAATTCAGCTCTTATTGTATAATGCACTTTTTAACAATATAATCTTAAATAAAGAACCTCTTGACTCCAGACTCTTGTCTGACACCTTTTCTGGCTAATGGTTTGACGTTTCAGCATATGTCCCTCCTTCAAAAACACTATTCCCCCCCCTTCTGATATAAATGGCTAGTCTCCCATTTTCAGTCTCTGCAATTGTCACTTGTCCCCTTGTCTCCATGGAAACATACGCTTGCAAGCCAGAAGCCACATTATGGAGCTCCCTGTATTTCACCATGGAATTAAGAAAAGAAATGGAGATGAATGGCATTTGAGAATGTTATTGATCTCTGGTAGACAAACATCTTTCTACATTTTTATGTTGTTTAGCATTCCAGGCACAGATACCATGACATTTCAAGGGGTATTCTAAGATTCTGTGTGAAAATGGTATTGCTGTTCACAATTAATAGCACACTGGGCAAAGATTTTTGTAGTTTGTAATTTGGTAATGCCAGATTACAGTGAGTTTTGTACTGTAGCTATTTTTAATTATATATTTGCATGTTATTTATAAATATTATGTCACCTATTACTCATAATTGTGTGTTTTCCCCCGCAGTACGTTCACTTGGGTCAATAGCACTCAGAAAGGCAGAAGATGTTGACTTTAAGTACCATTTTGATGTCTTCAGTGTCAACTTCAATGAGGAACTAGTTGCGCTTTACGGAGGAAGCCTCCAGAGGCAGACCAAATTTGTACATGAGTGTATTAAAGTAATTCTTAAGTTGTATAAGGTAGGTGAGAAAAACTTCACGAGTTTATTCATATCGATCACCAGCTGTGTCTCTCGTGATAGGTGTGATAATTTGGCCAGATAGGCAGTACAGAAGTGTAAAAGATAGATAGATAGATAGATAGATAGATAGATAGATAGATAGATAGATAGATAGATAGATAGATAGATAGATAGATAGACAGACAGACAGACAGACAGACAGACAGACAGACAGACAGACAGACAGACAGACAGACAGACAGACAGATAGAAAGAAAGAAAGAAAGAAAGAAAGAAAGAAAGAAAGAAAGAAAGATTCCAGTGGGCCTTCTAAGTACTAATTGTACTTGAATCGCAGCCCTAATCTATTCTGTCCTGATTACTTAAATGTTTTTCTCTACAATGTGTATCAGAATGCAATTGCATTTTAGACTGAAGTTTGCTTTTTCTTACATGTGTTTAATGTGTTTAATGGCAAATAATTTTCATTCATTTTTTTGAAGGGTCAAGCGTTTGCTCCACGTAGTGTTGCAATAGTAGGGCATTCCATGGGTGGCCTTGTTGCAAGAGCCCTGCTGACTCTGAAGCATTTTAAGGCAGAACTACTTAACGTCCTCATTACTCAAGCCACACCTCATGCTGCACCTGTAATGCCTTTAGATCAATATCTTACAGGTATGATTCTGGCTAGTGTTAGTGCTTTGGATGTGTATGGCTGTGCTTCCGTTCGTTTTATTTTTTTCTCTGGTGTTTCTGGTTATGTTTTAATGTTGGCAGAAACCCCCTAGAATTCAATGCTGTTCCGTTAACGTTCATGCTTCAGCTTGGTTTCACAATATCTTACGGAAAAGGTTCTCACTGATAGCAAAGCTACTATCAAGAATGTGTCTCTGTGTGCCCTGACTGTCTGTCTGATCATCATTCAGAGACAATTTCATTAAAAGAGGGTGACTGTTAATGGTTGCCCTGAAACGGTGAAGAACAGAAAAGTGGAAGTTGGTAGGGCCCAGTCCATTTGCAGATATGGTGTATAATATCTGATGTGGAATCGTTAAAGAAGCCAGTGTAGATGGCTCATCCAAATGAGTTTATCTGGAAAGGTAAACATAACATTGAGGCTGCAGAACAGACAGGCAATGGGCTTGGAATCCCAGCATCTGCACACACTTATGTGTACTTAACTAGAAGCCAACTGTGAGATCAGTGGCAAGAGTTGTTAGGTCTTTAGTGGAGAGCGCTGGTTATTTCATCCTCTGTTATGTGTGGGTGCCCTAATTAGTCTGTTCTCCCACGTTTTGGGCTGTATTTTGACAGAACTGGAACACCAAGAGAACACTGTTCAGTATCATGAATATCAAATGTAATAAAATGACTTGCAGCTTTCTGAATGCAGATTTTGTCGAATGGAAAGACTACAAAGGAAAATGAAATGATTTGAGAACTGAGCCAATTTAAAGTTTCATTGAGTTAGTTATGAAGATCATTTCCCTCTGTGGAGTATTCCTGTAGAATAAATATTTTATAACTAATATAATTTAACTAACTCTGTGCATGCTGTTCCATGAGCTCTTTATGTGCAGTTAAGGAGTATATAGTGTCAATCACTATTAGACTCAGTTTAACTCTAGCATGTAACTATAGTAATAATGTAACTATTATTTACAGTAATAGGAGTGCTAACTGTAAAAAGCAGGTGTCTGCAAACGTGTGTCCTTTTGTGACCAGGAACTGAATTCTGGAAATCAGAATAAGGGGAGCAGTACTTAGCAAGATTCCACTGTAGCAGTTTTGACTCTTAAAAACAATTGTCATCATTTTGTCTACTGTGCTAGGCTGACACCATTTCTCCTACTACTGTATATCGCATACACTGCCACAGCCCTCCAGTCTTCTGACATCATTTTGTCTAGTGTACTAGGCTGACACCATTTCTCCTACTATATCACATACACTGCCACAGCCCTCCAGTCTTCTGGCCTCCAACTGATTGGAAGTGATTGCATCATATTCAGAGTCTTTTGTTTGTGCTGCTTTTCTCTATCTATGCCCTTGCCCCTGCTTTCCCTCAGTTCTTCATTCCAGTACAGTATTTTCCTCTTCTCAATCCCTCACTTGCTTCTTGGGGTTTATTCTCTACTGCAGAAGGTTCTGGCAATTGCAAAGGACAAGCTATCTCCCTAGGTGGATTCTGTTTCATGTCCCCTCTTCTTTAAATCTGCCCCCTCAAAAAAAAAGGTATTGCGTGTTCCCAAAAATATGAATAGTACAGTATGTCGGTTGTGTTCAAATATACCCTTGTTGTTTGAAATGCAGACTATTATATGTTTGCAGTTTCAGAAAATATGTTGGGAGGTAGCTGCTACATTGAAACTCTAAAGACATTCACATATTGCTATTGGTTTTAGTGAGACTGCTAAGGCCACTTCCCTTATAGGTGGAGTCACATGTTAACTGTTCCTGGTTGTGTGGGGAGGGGGCAATCCTGCCTCTGCAGATATAGGAAAAATCTGTTATCTGAGGTGGCAGGATATGGTTCTCACACACAGTCAGATCAATGTCCACTATTAATTTAGTGTATGGGTTTGATTAGCAGTGAGAGTTGAATGTTGACACTTCTGAGTATGACATGAGAATGATTCTTGCGAGTACTGCTGATCAAGCAGAATGTCATGTCTGAATCAGCCCTGATAATTGAAGATCAGTTGTGTTTCAATCTCCTTTGAGTTTGCTTGCCTTCTTCCCTTTCTAAATTGATTTCCATCTGTTTAAGACTGGTGGATATTTCGTTTAGACAACCCTTATAATTCTGCACCAAATTTAAAAAAATTAAGGGATTGCTATTTCATGTTGGCTATATCATACTTAATCTAGAACTGATTAATTGGGAACAGTGAGTTGGCTCACCCTTGAAGGGAATGGAAAGAGATAATCTGTGCACTAAGAATGGAAATAGGCAATAAAAACAAGTGTGCTGAACCATGTATGGAATTGTTCTCTAAAATAATATTATTTCCTCAGATTTTTATGCAGTTGTAAATGATAACTGGATTTGGAAGGCCCAAGAAATAAAGAATCTTACAACTCTTTCTGTAGCTGGAGGATTTCGAGATTATCAAGTTCGTTCAGGTCTGGCTTTTCTACCCAGGTCAAGTCATCAAAGCACTGCCTTATCTGTTGTGGTAAAATATTTTTTTATTATTTAAAATTGATATGTGGTTTTATGAGTCTTGTAAAGTCTTGGTAATATTCTGGAATGGTTTAACCCTTTTTCTGACATCTGTCATAACTTTTTCAAAATGACCATATTTTTCCATGTATAAGACACGCCCTAATTTTCTCACCCAGAATTTCTTTCTTTGCAAGAAAGTGGAGGGGGAAAGCGATTCCTGCTTTTGCCCTACATTTTCACTGCAAAACATTTGCAACGAAAATGTAGGGGGAAAGCTGAAATTGCTTTCGCCCTCCATTTTATTTGCAAAACATGGAGGGGGAAAGCAGGGATCAAAGTGCTTTGATCCCTCCCCCCTCCTTACTTCCAAGTATAAAATGACCCTCAATTTTTCCTTTAATTATTTTAGGAAAAAAGTGTCACTTTATACACGGAAAGATATGGTAAATTCTAGATTGAGGTCTCAGTTCCAATAAAAGGATTGACATTTGTTACCAAACGTGCAGATTTTCTTTCATCTCAGAAGATTAGAGCATTATCTTGATTGTGCCTGGTGTGTAAATTGGTTTTTTTCTCTCTCTCCAGAATTCCCCTTTGTATGAAGTTACAGTGGTGCCTCGCATAGCGATTGCATCGTATAACGATGAAATCGCTTTGCGATGAAGATTTTGCGATCGCTTTTGCGATCACTTTCCGATGCTCCCTATGGGGGAATTTCGCTTTGCGATGATCGGTTCCCTGCTTGGGGAACGGATCATGGCAAAGCAAACAGCTGATCGGCGCCTCGGGAGGAGGGAGGGAAGGAGGGGTGAAGGGCCTGGCCCCAATCCCCGTGCGCAGCAACCCCTGGGGCGCCGAGCCAGAGAGCAGTTGCGGCAGGAGGCACTGCAGAGGAGGAGGCACCCGTCGGGGATCAGGATCAGGGTGGCAGTGGCTGCACAGGGGCAGCGGCACACCAGAGACCCCCTCCTCGCCAGCCAAGGAGACTGGGAGTGCGGGGTTGGCTCACTGGCGGTGGCTGGCGCGCCCCTTCCCTCTCCTCCTCCCCACCCCGGGCGGCTGCCTTCTTCCAGCGCGCTGCTCACCGGCCTTGTCCGGGTGTCTCCTGGGCTAGCTGGCGAGCGGCGTTAGGCTGGCGCGCCCCTTCCCTCTCCTCCTCCCCACCCCGGGCGGCTGCCTTCTTCCAGCCCGCTGCTCGCCGGCCTTAGCTGGGTATCTTCCGGGCTAGCTGACTGGCTGGTGAGCGCTGGGGGGGCAGCACGGCC